ATTAAGATGCATAATTACTGTTCCTTTGTGTTCAAAGTGTCTTAAGGGCAGCAAAAAAGTGTTTTTCTTATCCTGAAACCTTATAAAACAAGCTTAAAATTGCTCAGAAAAAAATAGCATAATTTACATTCTTTATCACATAATTGGCCTTTCTAATCGCGTAATCTGCCCTGCAAATTTCGCATAATTTGCATTTTTTCATCGCACCCTATCAGAAGGCCTGTGGATTCCTTCTTAACACCTAAGCTAGTATATAACTATAACTGAACTGAACGACTTTAATCTGCAGTTGATAATGGCGACAAGATAAGACCGAAACGTCAAGTTATACATGTAGCATTTATTTTTCTTTTAAAATGATTTCTTTGTAACTGAGTATCTTTTGGGATTTGAGGGACAAAAGAAACTTGAATATTTTGTCCTAAAATCCTCAGGGACATGCTAGAATATTGATATATTGCATGTGGCCTATTACTTGCCCGTTTTGTTGAACACGTTCATTTACACGAACAGGAAGCATTTTTTTAACCAAAAGATTAAGTATACAGAGCATGTTCTTACCGTATCAAACTGGGGAAAGGCACAATGTTTGCGAGAAAACGGCACCTTGGAGAATCCAATATGGCAGACAGAGCTTCAAAGAGCGTGGTAAATGTATGCATGCATAAATTTGCATGCATAAATGTGACACCAAAACAGAGAAATGGAGCCCATTTTACAACTCATGCACCATACTGCGCAAGAGTAATGAGAAAACGTTGCTATTTGAAGACAACCTACACCCACTGCACACTAATGGCTGATAGTGTGTGGTGGCTCAGCCAATCAGATTGCAGCTTTTGTTTTAGCCTACTAGTAGAAGTCCACTGTTGATCAATAGTGCTTAATTTCCCTGTTATTCTCGTCTGTGTGGAAAGAAACATTAAATGGAAAGGAGTACATCTGAAAGTTTTACTACATGTTTATGTGTTGCCCGTCTCCTCTCACCACAGGAATATCAAAACAAATTTTGCACAGTGTAATCTACCCTGTATAGTATAATTCATACCAAATTAATGTAATAAAGAATAACAACTATTAATGTAATTATATTCACAGGAGAGAACTTTGGTTTAGCAAGTGTTTACATTTAAGGAATCCTTGGAATGACAACAAAGAGGTGAAAATATGCCGTGATGGACAGGTAAGGCTTAATTCTGTGCTTGAGTAAACACTGATAAACAAGAAATGACTCGGGACACTTAAAAGTTGTTTTGAAACTTATGGACGCATGAAGCTCCCTCTGGTTTGAAATGTTTGTCAATCATTTGTATGCTTGTCAGACAGGATCAAATGTTGAAAAGTGATATATATATGTTGAGTTTCCATATTTACGTGCAAATTTCAATTTATATGTATTCAAATTGCAATATAGATGTATCCAAATTGTAATATGTATGTCCAAAATGTCAAAAGATATATATCCAAATGCTGTGTCCATTGTCTGTTTTATAAATAACTTCACACGTTTCTTTACATATTTGCAAACAGGTTGATGTATATTTGTCACGCAGGTTTTCGACATATATATATGTATATATTTTGTGGTAAGTACTACATGTAAGTGTTCATGAACTGACTCGCATCGACTACAAACAAAATGGCAGCCATGTATGGATTCTTTTTTTGATTCTCTGGTATTTGTCATACAGGGAGTAAGGAGTTACTTGTTGACTGACCAAGTGGACAGTGCAAAATTCTGGTGTCACAGACTTGACGAATATGAGTGAACTTTGAGTTTGTTGTTAGCTAGAGTGGAGGAATTAAGCCCTGATCGAGTAACTTTTGTTCAATTGAAAATTTGGAGATCCTCCTTGATTCAATGGGGAATCTCGAAGTTCTTCTCTCTGTATATGGTCTACAGTGCAGAGACTTTGAGGAGTATCTTACCTGTCAGTCTCCTTGAGGACTTTGAGCATCAAGCACTTCTCAAGAATTCCCCATTGTATCTACTAGGATCTCCAAATCTCCAGCCGAACAAGTTACTCGATCAGGGCTTAATTCCTCCACTCCAGCTAACAACAACCACAAAGTTTGCTCATATTCGTCAAGTCTGTGACACCAGAACTCCGAACTGTCGACTTGGTCAGCAAACAAGTAGCTTTCTAGATCTTGCACCTTGTATGACTCTCACCAGAGAATCAAGAAAAGAATCGGTACATTTTGGAAACCACTGTGCCACCATTTTGTTTGTAGTCGATGCAAGTCAATTCATGAACACTCACATGTAGTACTTACCACAATATATGTATATGTCGAAAAACTGCATGACATATATACATCGAACTGTTTGCAAATATGTGAAGACGCGTGTGAAGTTATCCATAAAACGGACAATTGACACAGCATTTGGATATATATCTATTGACATTTTGGACATATATATTACCATTTGGATTATATATACTATACGATTATATATATTGAAATTTGGATGTAAATATGGAAACTCAACATATATAATGATATCACTTTTTAACATATTGATCCTGCTTGACAAGCATACATTACAGTACACAGATAGTATGATGGTGCCCAGCCATGAAGAATTTTAGATTTGCAGAAAAGTTGTCGAGTTTTAAAGACCGTAGGTTTATCTGATCATTGTCTGCTCAGTCTGGCAGCAAAGGTAAAATGTGTAGAGAATAACTAGTTGTGATGTTTTATCACTCAGGAAGTGGAACCTTCTGTAGGTGAAGCCCTTTGTCGATTGTTTCCTGAAGATGAGACTGTGGACCTCAACACATCTCATCACTCATCAGAGAGACGGCGTAGGAAGGAAAAGGATACTGCTAGGTTAGCAACAATCATCATATCCTGGGAGTGGACATGCATGTGATACCATGTAGCTTCACAGACCTGAATTTTACTAACTTCAAAGAGGACCATCATTGTTTCGTAGGAGACAGAGGCTGATGGATAATGTCTGTTGTTTTTATAAGTAAAGCAACATCCAGTGGATATTCATTCAACACCTTTATCCTCTACTCTCCTGATCGAGTTTGTTGTTGATTGTCTCTTATGGCATCTTGTTCTCACGTTATCCTATATTTTGCTGTGCTTTGTAGGATGTGTGGGAATGTTGTGATCAAGCATTACATCTGCTCTGAAATGGACTTAAGGCCATTCAACAGCCTAGGACAATACCTCAATGGATTTACTTCAAAAAGACTTTTCTGTTACTTATCAAGATCTTATATTGAAAATGGACTTATCTTCAGACTGAAATTTTTATCTGCGACTCCGGGGTTTTAGCTCCTTTAAGCAGAAGAACTTACAAATTTACAGATGCTTTCCAAAGTGTTCAAAAGCTTTGCCAACAAAGAAATTATTTTTGTGTTCAAGCGGAAATTCCTATTGCAAAGTGCATTTTTCCAAAGGAGATGATTAATGTAAAGAGAGTTAAATTTAGATAACTGACATTAATCATTTTTCTGTCATATAAATTTGCACTACCATCCAGGAGTTTACAACACCTTCTATTTAACCAAGGATCTACATTTTGATATAAACCTTCTATCATGTCAGGCCAGATGCTATTTATAGGGGATCAGAGTTCTGGTGTAGGGAATGCTTCAAGGGACCAATTTAAGTGTTATGTCGCATACAAGACATGACTGGACAATAACTGTTTGTGTTGTCACAGTTCCTTAATGCGTTCCTGCATCCTGAGAGTGTAAATGCTACAGTGCAAATCAATTACGTTTATCAGTGCTTGAGTTTGTGACACACAAATGGTGTTTTTATGCAAACACATAAGATGTCAACACCTCTGGATGGTCTAAAACATCTGAATATTATCATCCTTGGGATTTGAAAGATTAGTCAGTTGAGCTAATGGAGAGCTCAAGAAAGGGACTAAATATCTTCATCACCTAGTACGATATTATGATGTCAGTCCACAATCAGAGTCTGCCAAGGAGTGCAAGTGGTAGTTGCTGTATGGAGGTGACAGCGCTGTGCTTCCATAAAAATTAACATGTTTTTAACATGCTTCTTGATCTTTATTAAGTTATAGCAACTGCTTTTATCATGTTTGGTACTTTGAATGATATGTTGTTATGAATGTGTACTCTTATCCCTGGCAAGACAGTTTGGCTGTTCTAACCGCCAACAACCAGCTGTTAAAGAACATACCTTTAATTCCAGCTGTTTCTTATCATTAGGCATCGTCCTAGACACTCTGATGAAATTCGCAAATCAAAGAGAAAACACAGAGGTAACTGATTTTGGATAACCTTGCTAAAAATTGAGGGATTCTTTTCTCGGGAAAAAGATTGGCGCTTGTCTTTTACTGCTGGTAGTTCGCTGTAACAGATATCTATTTTTGTTGCCTGCATTTTTTTGTTTGATAGTGCAAACAAAATTTATGGGCAGGAGAGACAAAAACATTGTGTCTGCTTGGTAATTATTTAATGAATATGTCAAGAAGGCTTCATGTTCAGTGTTTTGTAATATAAATAACGGTTACAGCATTGTAATTATTCGACTTGCAGGGTTTTTGTTGAGGTTACTGTAGACCTTCAGGGGTGCCTTCCGGAAAATGCTCTTTTTACGTGCTGCTTTAAAGCAAACCTCGGCAAACTATATATCACTGTGAAGCTAATAAACTGTAGAATCCGAAAATAACAATATAGTTTTGTATTTTTGTTTTGATACGCATGCCCAAGCCTAAAAACGCAAAAATGACTGTACAGGCTAAACTGTATTACCAGCCTTTGTGTTACTGCAGACATCCAAACTGACTGGACATTATCAATCAGGAGATGATGGGCTAACAAAGGTTGTGAGGCTTTTTCAATATTTCTATTGGTTGCTTAGAAAATCTCGTTCAAAGTTGGAAAATAGAAAATTTTCTGACTGCTGTTAGTCAATGGGATGTCACAGGAAAAATATTTCGATTTTCGCAAAAGCCTTGCACCCTTTGGTGCGCTAATATCTGACCAACATTTTGGCGAAGTATCATTGAAATCTGATAAATCTACATACTCTATTAATTCATTTGAATAGGGGTAATTCACACAAAAATAAAACTTGAGTTTTCGGCCTCGAAAGAAATTCACAGTTTTCACACCTCACTGAAGTGGTTGTCAACGTGGCTATGCTGCCAACCAATGAAGCGCAGCTTTAAACTTCCCACCAGGCTACAGTAATGCTTCCCGGGAATGAATGTGCAATGTGTACATTTACAGTATATCTTTATATCTTACATCGTCTGCCGTGAAACATTCAGCATCTAAACCAAATCAGCACGTAAACGGTAAAGAAGGAAAAGGAAAAAAGAGGAATGCTAGCAGAATAGCCTTGAACAGGCCTACTCAGCGAGCCGAGTCAAGTGCGGGTATTTAAACATTAAAAGAGAGAAAAACTAAGTGCGCAATTCATCTGCCTGTTTGTTTTAGTAGAATATGGAAAAACACTATAAAGCGGGGGAAAGGAGAGTTTGGAGAAGTTGCCTTGTGAATGTCAGATATCAGCGATTAAATTTGTCAGTAATTCCACAGCAATCAACTTTTGTGCCAGAAGAAGCTAGAGCAGGGCATCGATGAAATTGCAATTTGAGCTCGTGTTCAAATGTGGGAATGCAAAACGTCTAGTCTATCACTTAAGAGATGAAAACAATGAGCAAAAGTGAAGATTTCTCAGCGAGAAATTGCAAGACGTAAGGGATAAACAAAAGAGACAAAATACGACTCCGCAGATGAGATCATTTGCCGCGAAAATTGTTACTGCTCAACTCAAAGGTTGACACATTTTAATTGGCTTATCACATTTTGTGGTTCGTTGACTCGTTTTAAGAATTTACGTTTTTGTGGATAACTCGTTCGCGTTCTAAGTTTTTGAAATAATTTTTTTGGAAAGTTCAGATAAAGTAAAAGTCTTGAATTTGGTGTAAAAAAACATTTTTGCACAAAATAGGCCCTTGAAGGTCTACAGTAACCTTAACCATAACTTCTGAACAGTCATATCTTGCACTAAGATATTGGAGCCATTGAACAAGATAGACTTTGAACTAAACCATTTTAATTGAAAATGAACTGCGATTATGAAACAAATTTAAGAATTAGCTGTATGCGTACATATCTAGCATTTCCCAAAGACGTAAGAAAAGTATCAACTTTTCTTTAAATCACGGTCAACGGTATATGCATTAAAACTTGGGGATCACTGTGTTTCTTTTGGAGAAGACAACCATTTATTTCTTTGTGGAGCTTAGTTTTGTAAGGTAATCTCAGGACAGCGTGTGCATGCACTTATGTCGTGGGATGTTATGCGCAGCAAGGATGCGCAGTGCAAATCAGTGGAATTACATTCAGGAAGGTAATTGTTTTCTCTAAACTATTATTTAGTTTCAGGATCAAGACACCATTCACGAGACCACCATGATTCTCTACCCAGATATGAAGACAGGTATTTCATGCCTAGCATTGTTTTAGCATTTTTTTTGTTCACAAATTGAGTTCATATGTTTATACTCCCCCCCNAAAAAGAATAACATAAAAAAGTTGATATTTGGTCCAGTGCCTCTTAAACAAGATTGATACTATCAGAGCGTTTTCTTGTAGATCTCGATATGCTGGTGTGAGGCGAGAGACACTTCTCCATGGAGTAAGTACCATTGTTCCTATTCTTATACTACCAAAGGTGAATAAATGCGCGCGTGCACAAATGAACAAATAAAGCAAGAAAAGTTTGTTTTTATGCCTTCTGTGTATCCAGGAGTGGCATTTTACTCTAAATTCACATCCCTGTGCACAAGCATGAATGAACAAAAGACCTTTCTGTCTACTGTATATGCAGCAGAGTACCGTAAATACCGGCCGATGGAAAAAAAGTTTTTGGAAAGAAATCAAAATAAATCATAAATTTGTGTTTTATATTCTAACTTGTCTGGGTAATGCCTGAAGTGTTTCTTGCTCTCTTTTTAACTTGGAAGATAGGGTAAATTTTTTCACGGGGGCAAAGTTCACTCCTTCTCTCCTCCCCTCATTCCCTTCTTGTTAACTTTCAAGTGAATTCACTGACCACTGTATATGGTTTTCATACTCAAGTTATTCAACATATAGGTTACTTCATGGAAAGTATGCATGGGTGCATAAATACTAATAATAGTTCTCAACAATGTTGCTGAATTTAAATTCACAATTAGTTCGATAAATGATATATATTATGATCTGTGCATTAAAAACTCATTCCAGTGGCCTCAAAATTGCGACTTTACAGATGTTTTTGTATTTTCAAATTCACTGGCTGATAGCCACTTTGATTTAGTAAGACTTTAACAATAATAACTTGTAATGCCAGTGGGCATTTTAGCAGAATTGTTCCTTATAATTAGCCAGTGTTAGTCAAAGCTCAGGTTATATCGGCTTCACAATGCCAGCTACATAATAATGTTACTCATCCGGGACAGGGTAAACATACATATGAATGATAAGCATCTTACGAAGCATCCTTTTGTTTTTGGCAATACCTGAAAAATAGCAATACTTACATTTACAATGCTGTGATTAGCTTAACGTATTAGACCTCATTAATAAAGGTTACTTACCTACTTTTATTTACTTACTAATGGAAGGAGCACCCATCTTGAGTCTTGAACAGCTGCACTGAACATTTGTAGTGAGACTTTACCTGACCACTCAGTAAGCAAAATGTTGGTCTTTGTACCTAAAAGTACTCAACTACTGAAGCCAACTTTGCTTTAAATATAATGACTGTCAAGTGCAGGACCACGTCCATTAGTTGCGAATGCTGTTAAATTAAGTCAGTAAGACTGAAAAGGGAAAGTGACTTTTTGGGAAGGTAAATTTAGAGCATTGACGACATGATCCAACAACTGCACGGTGGCAGACAGTATAAAAGTATTAATTATTTTGTTCCAACTTATTTCCAAGCGCTAAATGTATTTGACGACAAAAAAGAGTGTACTTCAGTAAAACTGAACAAACACTACAGAAAGAACGTGACCTAAACAATTGTGTGTGATGTAAAAAAACTGAACTTGTAGTCCAAATTAGAACTCTCTTCATAAATAAATTAAATAGTTGTCGAGTGAATTATACAGTTAACACTGTCCTGAATGTTGTCTTTTTTGTGTGGTGAAGATATACCATACCTTATCAGGTGCATTGCAGTGCAATCAGTTTTGGAACCTCTTGGATCTCGTAACTTATGATTTTGTTTCTTTTCAGTCTTATTCAGACTACATGCGGGAATACCAGCGCTCAAGGCACTCCTCCTCTCTACCTCCTCTAAGAGTAAGATTTGTTGTATATATGTATTTATACTGTGCCTTAGAAAATACAGCCAGGACTTTCTTGTGTTATACCATGGAATATCCCACTTGTTACATGTACCTGTATTTTCTTGGTATACACCCTCGCCTACAATAATTTTTCATATCAAAGTTTTTCTTTTAACCCATGTCCCAGGGTTGCTCAAAGTTGTTAGTTTTAATGTTCAGATAAGGTATTCAAGAGTTTCAGTGAATTGTGTCGAGACAACAGACAGAACCCATGCAATGCCTAGTAAGAGCCAAGGAACTCTTGGGATCATCGTTTGATAGAAAAACTTATGTTTCACCCCTAACCATGGGTACAGGAAACTCTGGTTTGTTTGGGAGCTTTTGTTGTTCACCACCAACCAATTTGTTGGAAAATGCTATTTTCCAAGTTGTAGATGTGTATTGAGCAATTTCACTCTGTCACTCCTTCACTCTGTCACTTCTTGTTAGACATTTCACACTCTGGGGGGCTCTCATATGAAAAGGTCAGGGATGCTCATTGGAAAAGTTGAGTTAAACCCCCAAAGGAGACAATTGTGATCGTGGCTCAAGCTTTATTTGATTCCTAAAAGATACCACTTAAAAGGGAAGAGGCTCGATTACCAGCCTCTGTACAGGAAGGAGTGAACACTTGTAGACCAGATTCGAGAAACCTTTGGAAATCGAGCCTAAAATCATAAATAAAAGCGTTTTTATATGATTTCTTCGAAAGCACCCTAAAAGATACTTTGACAGCTTGAAATAGTGGCGTTTTGTCCTGAACACCCTAAGTGACACCAACAACTTTTGCGAGATGACCAGCATCCCCGACTTTTTTATACAGTAGCTCCCCTCCGTTTTAAATATTCTGCTGACGTAAGGCTTGCACAGTCGCTTGCACCATGTCAAGTTGGTTATATTCGCGAGGTAGAAGGTGAAACGATTTTTCAATTGTAAGGAATGATGATAAATGATTCTTTCTTGGAGATTTGATTGAAACGGCAAGTCTGAATTTTTCACAAACCTGCGTGGTACTAGTGGTTAGCATATTGTCAGTTCGAAAGTAATCAAGATTGAATGATTAAAAGCTCCAGGCAATTTTTAAACACAAGAAATGGAAAGACAAGTGCGGCCTTTCTGTAAATGGTCTCTTGACATAAACATATGCGTTAAAAAAGACACTCAAAAAGAAAAGAGAACTTTTGCTCTGTATGAGATTCAAACCTACTCATTCCCGCTTACGGGGCAAACAATTATCCCACTGCACCACTTGTACAATCCACTAGATCAAAAGTGAAAATGTTAACAATATCACTGTCGCTGAATGACCAGCAGCTGGTCAAGGTTTTCAAGTCACTAAATGACTGGCATGATTTTTTTTCTCAAATTTAGGCAATCGAAGTAACACATCCAATTCAAACTATCATATGTTGATTAAGAACTGACAAGCAATCCAGAAGAGCTTTATAGATCGCAAGTCCAACTCTTGGTTTAGACTAGGCTCAGTGAACGAGACCATGGTTTGTGACACTTGGATCTTTTTCAGGTCGACTATTGGTCAAATCACTAAATGAACGGCAGTCTGATACTTTTGAGAAATTTAGGGAATCGAACGAACCAATCATGTCCAAACTATCATATGTTGAGTAACAAGTAAAAAGCGACCTGGAAGAGCTTTGTAGATCCTAATCCAAACACTTTGTTTACGCTGGGCTTGAAGACGCTTTGTGACCCTTTGATCTTTTAGGTCGACTGCCGGTCAAGGTTTCAAAACATTAAACACTTACAATAGAGCGGTAAAACTTTACCACACAGGGCAATGGATGGGCTACACCAAAGATGAAGAAGCTGTCAGAAAGTAAATGTAAGGGGAGGAAATCACCTGCATTGTGTATATTGGCAGGCTAACGAAGAGCAGAGGATATGAGAAATGAATGCCCAAATATATGCAACATATATACACATTCTAAGATCCACGTATATGCTCGGAAAGTGCTTTTTGCAGAATGGTTTGTTCATGTTTGATAGCAACGAAAATTTCTTTAACCAAAAAAAAAAACGTCAATATGGCAGCAGTGGTAAAGTGTCTTGGGTTGGTCTTTCTGCTATTTAATGTTTGATACTGCTTTCCCACAACTGAACTTTTAGAAACAGTTATTCGGCATTTGAATGAGAGGTTAACTGAGATTTTATCCACACTCAGATCGTAATATGGCAGAGAATTTGATCGTTCAAGCATTTTCCATCTATGGAATGAATATTGAAGCAATTCAAGAGGCAGTGTTCTCTCAGCGCTCGCTTGGGCACCTCCGTCTGATGAACCAACTTAACGATGAACAGAATCCACAGCAACATCAAGACAAACGATAAAGTTCTCTGCCATGTTATGGTCTGCATGCAGATAAAATCTTCGTTGAACTGTCATTCAAAAGATGCATAACTGTTTCTAGAAGTTCAGCTGTGGGAGAGCAGTAGCAAACATTAAATAGCAAATGAACCAGGAAAAGACATTTTACCACTGCCGCCATATCGATATCTAGTTAACAGGAATTTTCGTTCCTATCAAATGTGAAACACCCATTCTGACAAAAGGCACTTTTCGTGCTGGCATATACTACATAGTTTGTGAGACCTGTATATACGCGCATCTTAGCACGTGTATATATAGGTCCTTGTAGGACACATATTTAAGCATTCATTTTGCACATCCCCTGTTTGAGTTTACGCAAGTATGTGGCCATTTAAAAATTTGTATAACCGCGATCTAAATGGTCGTGCGTATGGGCTCAAGAGTGTGCCCATGAGAAAACCAGGCAGGAGGTGATACAGCTCAAATCACTGCTTTTGCTCAAACTTGGCACAAATGTTGGGTTTGGTGAGTACATGGTCATGGCAAAAAATAGGTCAAAAATATTTTATTCCCTTCAAGTGAGAGGGCCCCTCCAAAAATGGCTGTTTGATACTAATTTATGCATATTTAATTAGCTTTCTTTGGTCTAGTATTTCTACAACAAGAAAGGCCGCGTGAAAATGAAATCCACTGGATCATGTTCTGCTATTATCAGTCTCAAAGCACAGATATTCATTTGAACTAGATAATTTGATTTCTTTCTGTAGCTCCATCTTATGT